GTGCCATCCTTGAGGTAACTGAAAATCCTTACTGTATTGCTGAACCAAGGGCTTGCACACCGAAGGAGGAACATCCCCTCCCTCTATCCAATCTGATCGCATCCAGCCTGTGTAGTTCCACAGATAATCTTCCCCCACCTCTTGTACGTCCCTAACCATGATCTAAGTATGTGATGGCTTTGATAGCCCTGCATCCCCCTTATGACCACCCTCTTCCCATCCACCATTAATTTCATCGTGAGTGTCAATTGTCCTGATCGTCCTCCGACGATTATACTCGAACCCCTCTTCATACTCACTTCTCCTCCCTTCAACATCATCACCTCGACGTTGAATACTTTAAATTCAGCACCTCGACGATGACGTTCCTCCTTCTTCTTCAAAATCCCACCCACATCGGATGCTGAATTCTTTCGAATTCAGCACCCCTTTGTCATATCCCATACTCACCCTTCCATCGAAAGAGGCTATAGAGGAAGCATGTCGTTCTCTTTCTCTTAGGATCCACTCCAAATTTCTTCCTCCCGCAAGGGGTTCGGATTTCCTCCACATGCCATGGCCATCGGGGTTCTCTTACTTCCGATTGTCACCGGATGGTTTTCCATCCTCAAGTAGTTTCTCTCAACATTTCCTCCATTGCATTGAGCTTCCCCTCCAACCTTTTATATTGGAGTTGATTTGATTTTGAAGGTTGAAGAATCTTCTCCAATCGGCTTTCAAGATTCAACGAAGATCTTCTTTCGAACAAGAAAATCCGCTGAAAATCTCAGGAAATCAGCCCCAACGGTCCCAAAAAAAGAGGCCTCTGATACAATTTGTAGGGAAAACTTGAGTTCGCAAGTAAACCCTCTAGTAATACTTGAGTTTCGCAAGCAAACCTAACCAATCGGCGAAACAAAACAGCAGCAAATGGCTGCCCACAGCAGGAAAACAGCAGAAAACAGTGGCAATTAGAGGAAAACTGTAGGAAAACTCAAAAGTACAATTGTATCCACTAGAATGATTGAATAAAATAGCAAGATACAATTGATCCTCAATTCGAGAGGAGGGATCGATCTTCTCCCAAATCTCTAGACGCGCGCTAGAGCCCAAAGAAACCTAAATATAAGAGATCTCAAATTTTTGTCAAATTCAAGATACTCAAACCCTAGCAAAATCAACTATTTAATGCATACAAATTTAAAAAGGAATTGAAACGGCGGAAATCTTCCGCCTGGGCGGAGGCCGTGCGAGCCGCTCGGCTTGCGGGAGCGTTTCAGGAAGGAAATTTGAGGAAGTTTATGAGGGAAATTGATTGTAGGGACTATTTAGGGAATTCCTTTTGATTTGTATGCATTAAATAGTTGATTTTGCTAGGGTTTGGGTATCTTGAATTTGACAGAAATTTGAGATCTCGTAGATTTAGGTTTTCTTTGGGCTCTAGCGGCGTCTAGAGATTTGGGAGAGATCGATCCTCCTCTCGAATTGAGGATCAATTGTATCTTGCTATTTTATTCATCATCTAGTGGAATACAAGTTGTACTTTGAGTTTTCCTACATTTTTCCTCTAATTGCCCACTGTTTTCTGGTGTTTTCTGGTGTTTTCCTGCTGTGGACAGCCATTTGGCTGCTGTTTGTTCGCCGATTTGGGTTAGGTTTGCTTGCGAACTCAAGTATTACCTTAGGGTTACTTGCGAACTCAAGTATTTCCTATCATAATTCAAGTCATTGCATATCAAAGACAGTATCAGCCCCATGCATAGAGAGAATGAATAAATCTAAAATGATTGGATATCCTTGTATGCTTATTGCAACTTGGGAACATTTTGAATTGCAGAGAAGTAAATTGTCATTGCAAACGAAAGCTTTAAATTGTTTAATTCGTTCGGAGTGAAGGCTAAGTTGGGTAACAATGTTATCTTGAATAAAATTATGAGTACTAATACTATCAATCAAAATATAAACATTATCTTTTTTAATATGGTTGGTTAAATGAAAAGTATGTGCATTAAATTGTCCAGCTAGGACATTTAAACTTATTTTTGGAGATAAATCTTGTGAATCAAGGTCATTAGATGAATGTTGGTTGTCGGCTATAGTATCAAAATCATAAGTGTCCATTAAGAGATAAAATTTATTAGGACAATGGTGTTGAGGGCTAAATTTTGAATTGCAATTAAAACAAAGGCTTTTCTCACAACGAAATTGAATTTCCGAAGGGGAGAGCTTACGGATGGATAGATCAGGTGGTTCCGAGGAGGAATTTGGCAAGGAAGTGTGGGTAGATTGTTAGCCTTTAGGCATAGAGGGGTGAGTAGGTTTGTTTGGGATGAGGCATGGAAATGATTTCTGCCTTTGTGGTGAAGGAAGTGCAAGAAAATCTTGAAATTTACATGGCGGCAAGCTAAATCCATGACATCTAAAAGAGTAATGGGTTTGGCTAATAAGAGTTCTCTACGTAATTCTTGTTTGAGACCATAAATAAAATAACTAATGATAGTAGATTCATAAAGATTATGAATTTTAAATGCAAGATTTTCAAAAGCTATTTGATATTCAAGAACAAATGCTTGCTGAGTTATTTTAGATACATTGCTATTTAAATCTTCATACGAAGAGATGCCAAAATGTTGTTGTAATGATATCATGAATTCGGGCCAAAAAAGAGTTTGGCCTTTCATGTAAATCCATTGATACCATGTAGCCGCGGATCCTTCTAAATGAAATGAAATAATTCTTACGCTGTGGTAATCTGGAGTATTATGAAGATCGAAAAATTCTTGCACTTTAAAGATCCAAGTTTTCACATCCAGTCCACTAAAGCTAGGAAGTTCAATTTTCATATTTTTAAGAAAAGATAAACATGCATTGGCTGACGAGAATTGAGGAGATGAAAATCAAGCGATAGATCCCAGAATCCCAATGGATGGTGGAGGTTCTTGATGGGAAGAAGGTGGACGATCCACACAGAGGCTGTTGAGACGCTTGTCAATCGAGTCCATAAAGGCTTAAATTGTTGTAATGTTGTCCCGATGAAAGTGAATTGAGCATTTGCCTATTGTAGCGATTTTTGAATTTTCAAAAATTGTGACTCATGACTGGATTGCGTGATATGTAATGTTTCGTCCAAGTATGCGTTCTTTATTTTGAATGAAGAATTAAGAAACCTGAATGACAGAAAGAATATTTAATTTCCTGAAAAGAGAAGAAATTCAGTTCTTTAAAAGAAAGAAAAACAACAATAAGGAAAAATAGTTGTGAAGATTTTGATCCCAAGGTAAGCGTGGGTTTTTGAAGTTTCTTGCTGTCAAATAAAGTTGGCTTCTCTGCCAAGGATTGGTTTGGGGTGTGCGGGCAACTGCAACCAAGCAACCTGCTTTTTGCGGCGACGTCGCGGGGGAGGGAGATCTCAATGAGAGCACCATTCCCTCCCTCAATGAGAGCACCAATTTGACATGCTACTTGATTGAATCAAGTAAGGATATGATACCTTTTGAGTAGGTGGAGACTCCTAAAGGAAGAGGAAGAGGAAAAACAGGAGAGAGAGAGAGAAAATCATAATTTCATTTCCATAATTTTAATTTCGACAATGGTGGTTTATTTATAAGCTTGTACGAGTGGAAAGAAAGATGGTCAACTGTCTAAAATAATAATAAACTAGTTTACAAACATAATCCATATGTTATAGGTTTGTTTCTAATAAAATCATCAGTTGGTTCAATCCTTGTACCATTTTTTGGATAGGTACACTATAAAATTTTTGAATTGTTGTCTTGAGCTTGTTCTTCTGATTTGTGGATTCAATCTTCTCCTCAAATTTTTATTGTATTTGCATCCAGAGGAATGATGTATTGGTGCTTAACATATACATCACAAAAGCGCTGCAATATTATCTACATAGACTCTTTTTTTTATGGATGAACTGTGCGTAAAGAATAGTGAAATAAATATTTCCTGATAAATTGAACCAGCACTAACTAACTCAAGTACATTTGAATTGCTACTTGGTCTAATTATCGGAGCTTTCATTATTCCCACAGGTGGCCTGCATGGTGGGAAGCATGGTGTTTGTGAGCATTCTGCTTATTCGTGGAATATGGTCTGGTTTGTCTTACATGAAGGAAAACCAATTCCACTACACGAATAGAATCAACAAATTCAACGGCAACAACAGCAACAGTTCATGGAATGGAGTTCAACCTGTAGTTTAATCAATATTTGATATCTTATCATAGGGATTAAAGGTTTCCATTCTGAAAATAAGCGAAGCGAAAGGCAGAAAAGATTGCTGAACTTTGCCATTCCTCCAGTGCTGCTTCGGCTATATTAGAAAGCTGTATTCTCTCCTGCCTCTCTCGGTCACTTGTATGAAATTTTAGATACGCAACTCATCAAATTAGATGATTAATCTTTTTTTTTTTTCTTATGAGTATTGTTATGGTTTCTGAAGAAAATTATTAGAAAGCATTAAGAAACCGTCCCAAATGAAATTTGAATAAAAACATATATCTATCGCAGGAACAGATGATTAAAATCCGACCAAATCCTGAAGCATCAAGTTCTAATCCAACTACAGATTTCAGAACATTTCACATAGCTGAAGAGAAATCAATAAATTTTCCAGTTTCCAAAAACACCAGATATATAGGCTGTAACTAAGCTGAACTAGGAAATTACATATCAGTTGATGATGACTTTTAGGAAGCTTAAAGAAGTAAAAAAGTTTTAGTTTTTGTTTGAGATAGTTTCTTACTGTTACTTCAAATAAATTTTTAGCTAAAAAGTTATTTGAAAAAGCAGTAAGAAAGTCATTCTAAATGAAGCCTTAGTTGCCCTTAGGATTTTCTTTTTCTCTTGACACTTCTCTTGGAAATAATATTAGAATCATCGTTGGGATGGCGAAGAGAATGCTTCGAGGCAATTGCAGAGCCCCACAATGCTCTCTCAACATCTGATGGGGTGAAAGACTCTTCCTCCGTACTCAACTCCTGAAAAACAAGATTCAATCACTTAGCCTCTTTATAATGCCTCAGTAAATAGAAAGGGAAAACTTACTGCGGAGATTAATTCATGCTTAATCCATTCTCATAGTTATTGTGACTCAGTGTATTTCTTTATGTTCAGCAAACGGAAGTAGAAAATATCAAGGACTAATGAGCATCAAACCATTGCATAATTGTGTACAATTAATAAAGTCAAATCAAATGAACTCTCTCTCCCTCTCTCTAACTTCTAGAGCAAGGTATACTAACTCAAATATAATTTGGATGAATTTTCTTACTCATTAAATTTACTTTGAAATTCTTCACAACAACAACAACATCAAGCCTTTATCCCACTATTTGAGGTCGGATACATGAATCACTTTTCTCTATTGTGTCCTGTTAAGAGTTAAATTCTCATTTACATCTAATAAAGAAATGTCATTTTTAATATTTTCTAACCAAGCCTTTTTAGGTCTACATCTACCTTTCTTAACATAAGTCAAATTTAATATATATACTTTCCTAACAGGGTCATTGGCAGGTTGCCATTTTATATGACAAACCATCTAAGGGGACTCTCTCTAATCTTATCTTCCACTGGAGCTACTCCAACTTTTGCACGTATATGCTCATTTTGTATCATATCTCTAAGAGTAAAGCCACTCATCCACCTGAGCATCCTCATCTTTGCAACACTTAACTTAATATTATGCTTCTCTTTTAATGAACAACATTCTGCACCATACAACATTATAAATCTGACCATCATCTTATAGAATTTTTCCTTAAATTTGAGGGAGACTTTTCTACCATGCAAGAATCCGATGCATTCCTCCACTTGAACCAACAAATTTGAATTTTCTTAATAATATATCCATCTATTTCACCATCACTCTAAACAATAGACCCAAGATACCTAAAATGTATACTCTTATTAATGACTTGATCGCACAAAGTCACAATTCCCCCACTATATCTATTATTATTAAAATTACACTCAATATATTCAATTTTAGATCTACTCAAAAGAAAGCCTTTAAACTTTAAGATTGACCTTCATAATTCAAGTTTAACTTCAACTCCCTCTGTAATCTTATCAACAAGAAGAATATTATCAGCAAAAAGCATACATCAAGGTACAATCTTTTGCAAATGTCTAGTCAGAACATCCATTACTAAAGCAAAAAAATATGGACTTAAGGTTGATCCTTGATGTAATCCAACTAAAATAGGAAAATACTTTGTTAAACCACCTGGTGTTTAAACACAAGTAACAACTCCTGCATACATATTCTTCATGACTTGAATATAAGCATTATTAACCCTTTTCTTTTTCTAGAATTCTCCATAACACTTCTCTTTAAACTTTATCATATGCTTTATCTAAATCAATAAATATCATATGTAGATCCCCCTTATTCTCTCTATACTTCTCCATCAAACCTCTCAATAAATATATAGTTTCCATAGTTGACCTACCCGGCATGAATCCAAATTGATTTTGAGAAACATGAGTATCACGCCGCAACTTATGCTTCATAACTCTCCTATAGTTTTAAAGTATGACACATTAACTTAATTCCTCTATAATTCGCACAATCTTATGCATCACCTTTATTCTTAAAAGTAGGAATCAACACACTCGTCTCCATGGCTTGAATTTCAAACTCTAGCCACATTGGTTTACTACTTTAGAACAAGTTTAAACCCTTATTCATCTCGGTGACATCTTTTGAATACAACTCTCGATGCATTATGTATAACTCATCCAAAAAGAGCGCCCCTACTCGATGACTCATGCCGAGAACCCACCTTGAGTTAGTTGCAATGATGACTTAGCCTGATTTGCCTTTGGCCAATGTACCCCCTTCCCAAGTGATCGATATTTCTCAATGAATTATACTAATAGAATATCAGCTCTAATATTCTAGGCGCTTTGTCACGAGATTTTCTAATCTCTTATTGATGAATTTTCAAGAGGACTTTTCCCCTCTTTATATGATGTTGACACATAATCCCACAAAAGCTTATCACTCTCGATATTCTATTTTAACTTTGATAATTGGATAGTAAATGCTCTTCAAGAAAACACTTATGTAGTCAAATTATCCTAAGAAAGCGCCTTAAGTCCACTCTCAACAACTTTCTTTCCGGAGTAAGTCCTTGTGGTAACCTCAAAGAAGTCGCTCTCAGCCAATAGCCAAGAACTCTTCGTCATAGATGCTTAAATTCAATGCCTAAGAGTTTGATGTGCAGAAGCTGGCTGCCCTTTTCCAAAAATGATGAAACACAAAGAGCAGAGTTGGTAAAGGAAAGTACGCACGGGTCCTGCAGGTGCATGGGACACCTTCCCTCATTTGAAAAAGATATGTTGGTGTGGCCTAAGGCTCAAAAAATATCCTTGATCATCCTTGCCCATATAATCGAAACTCCAACCCCAAATCCAGAAACTGCAGCGCCAGCATAGAGAGAATTGCACATTTTCTCCCTTTGGAAGGCAGTACTTCTTTCTTTTTGGGCTTACTGCAACCACGTCGATAGAATGTCTGCAATTCCTGAGCCCTACAGTTCAATGGCATATTCTAAATCTTTTGTGCTTTTGTGATAGCTTCGATCTTTTGTAGGGGTTATAGTATTATGTAACTCATTTTTTGCTGGGGTTTTTAATTCCCTCAATTTTGTTTGGCGCTATTGCACTTTTTTTATTTTTGTTGCTTACACATGTAACTAGTCTCCTTTAATGAAAATGGGCAATGTCCTCAATTTTTCCCAATATATATATATATATATATATATATATATATATATATATATATATATATATATATACTATATATATATAAATAAAATAATTATAGTATATATATATATATACCTTGAAGAAATGTTGTCTCACATGTGGGTCATCCCAGCATGCTTTCCTTCCAAAGCCATCCATGGAGGCTAAATAACCCCCTCATGAGCACATTCCAATAGTTTTACATTTAAGAGGTATACATCAAGAGGATGCACTAGAGGTTATGCAAATACCAATAATTTTTTTCATTGATCATATTGATGATGCTCAAATCAAAAATGAACTGAACATCTCTAGAGATTTTTTATCTTTTTTTTTTTTCTTTTTGGGGATTAAAACCCACACAAGAGGCTTACGCGTGCGTTCAGGATAATAATAAAAAACATTACCAAGACCTGACGTGAGTCAATTAGTCCTCAAAAATACTCAATTAGAAATAGAAACTGCTAGCCTTTAATTTCAATCTATCAGCATAACATCCCAGATGCATTCATCCACTTAACCATCCAACTTGAATTCCTACTAATAATATACCCATCACATTTCGCTCATCACTACTAAACGAATAAGACCCAAGATATTGAATAGGAATACTTGGTCGCAAGTAACCCTAAGTAATACTTGAGTTTTCAAGCAACCCTAACCCAAATCGGTGATCAAACAGTGAGAATACTGACTGTCCACAGCAGGAAAACATCAGAAATCTGCTGTTTACAGCAGGAAACAGCACAATCCAGGGAAAGCTGAGAGAGAAAAACACAAGTAGAGACTGCATTCCACTAGATGATAAAGTAAAATAGCAAGATAACAGATTGTTTTTCAATTGAGAGGAATATCAACTCTCCAAATCTCCGGCAATGCTAAGAGCCCAAAGCAAGGAACCTTAGATCTCAATCTCATTCAAATTCCAGATGATGCCCTAATGCCCTCCTAAAGCACCAATTAACCATAAAGAGAGAAATACACAATTACCAAAACAGCCCTCCCCATTCAAAATTTCCTCCCATACTAACTTTCTACTCATGCTTGGCGCACTATGTATCCTAACCCCCCCCCCCCCAAGCACCTATATTAACCATAAGGAGAAATACAAATTACCAAAACAGCCCTCCCCATTCAAAATTTCCCTCCCATACTAATTTCTACTCATGCTTGGGCGCACCATGTTTCCTGCCCCCGCCCCCCCTAAGCACCTAATTAACCATAAAAGAGAAATACAAATTACCAAAACAGCCCTCCCCATTCAAAATTTCCCTCCCATACTAATTTCTACGCATGCTTGGGCGCACCATGTACCCCCCCCCCCTCTGCTTGGTTCCGCCCGGGGCTTGGGCCGTCGGGTGTAGAATTGGACCCTCCTGAGCCAGCATAACATATATCTAAAATGTATACTCTTATTAATGACTTGATCGCCCAAAGTCACAATTCCCCCACTAGATCTATTATTACTAAAAGTACACTCCATATATTCAGTTTTAGATATGCTCAAGCGAAAGTCTTTAAACTTTAAGATTGACCTCCATAATTCAAGTTTACCTTCAACTTTCTCTGTAATCTTATCAACAAAAATAATATTATTGGTAAAAAGCATACACCAAGGTACAATCTTTTGCAAATGTCTAGTGAGAACATCCATAACTAAAGCAAAAAGATATGGACTTAAGGTTGATCCTTGATGTAATCCAACTGAAATAGGAAATAATTTGTCAAACCACCTTGTGTTTAAACACAAGTACAACTCCTGCATACATATCCTTCATGAATTGAATATAAACATTATTAACCCATTTTTTTTCTAGAACTCTCCATAGCACTTCTCTTTAAACTTTATCATATGCTTTCTCTAAATCAATAAATATCATATGTGAATCCCCCCTTATTCTCTCTATACTTTTCCATCAAACCTCTCAATAAATGTATAGTTTTCATAGTTAACCTACCCAACATGAATCCAGATTGATTTTGAGAAACATTAGTATCACGCTGCAACTTATGCTTCATAACTCTCTCCAATAGTTTTAAAGTATGGCACATTAACTTAATTCCTCTATGATTCGCACAATCTTATGCATCACCTTTATTCCTAAAAGTAGGAATCAATACACTCGTCTCAATGGCTTGAATTTCAAACTCTAACCACATTGGTTAACTACTTGAGAACAAGTTTAAACCCTTATTCATCTCGGTGACATCATTTGAATACAACTCTCGATGCATTATATATAACTCATCCAAAAAGATCACCCCTACTCGATGACTCATGCTGAGAACCCACCTTGAGTTAGTTGCAATGATGACTTAGCCTGGTTTTGCCTTTGGCCAATGTAACCCCTTCCCAAGTGATCGTTATTTCTCAATGACTTATCCTAAGAGAATATCAGCATCAAAAATCCGTTGAAGGTGCTCTATTATTCTAGGCGCTTTGTCACGAGATTTTCTAATCTCTTATTGGTAAATTTTCAATAGGAATTTTTCCCTCTTTATATGATGTTGACACATAATCCCACAAAAGCTTATCACTCTCCATATTTTATTTTAACTTTGATAATTGGATAGTAAATGCTCTTCAAGAAAACACTTACGCAGTCAAATTATCCTAAGAACGCGCCTTAAGACCACTCTCAACAACTTCCTTTTGGGAGTGAGGCCTTGTGGTTACCTCAAAGAAGTCGCTCTCAGCCAATAGCCAAAAACTCTTCGTCATAGATGCTTAAATTCAATGCCTAAGAGTTGATGTTCAGAAGTTGGCTGCCCTTTTCCAAAAATGATGAAACACAAAGAGCAGAGTTGGTAAAAGAAAGCATGCACGAGTCCTGCAGTGCATGGGACACCTTCCCTCATTTGAAAAAAAATATGTTGGCGTGGCCTACGGCTCAAAAAATATCCTTGAGAATGTTGTCTCACATGTTGCGTCATCCCAGCAATGCTTTCCTTCCAAAGCCATCCATGGAGGCTAAATATACCCCTCCTCTTGCACATTCCAATAAGTTTTACTTTTACATTAAAAGGTGATACATCAAGAGGACGCACTAGAGGTTATGCAAATACCAATAATTTTTTCATTGATCATATTGATGAAGCTCAACCAAAATATAACTCACATTCTAGAGATTATTTATCTTTTTTTTTTTTTTTTTTGATAAAACCTTAGGATAATAAAAAAACATTACAATATCTATGTGAGTCAATAGCCCTCTAAAAATACATTAATAGATATAGAATCTAAAAGCCTTTGATTCAATCTATTATAAAACACAAACAAAAGAAAAGAAAGGTAAAGGAAGACAAAACCAACACGAGGACCACCCATAAGAGACATCCGGAAGCAACAACTATCAACACCACGCTTCAACCAACACAACAATCCAAGCAAGACAGCTCAGAAGGTCAACATCAGCTCCCATCATGAATAGTAAGACGAGCACCAACGAAGTTATTTCTTTGATTTTCTCTTATGACGCTTCCCACCGTCATGGGAGAAGGTCTCATGCACAATGTGCCCCACCTGCAAAGCATACATCTCTTGCAATTCATCCACATCGTCAACTAAATCACCCCCGGCATCCCCGCACGCCGAGGAGAAGGAATCCTCTAACCAATCCGATGGGTCATCATTATTCAAAGTTACAGCCAATTGAGCTTTCAATTCGGCATTAGAAACAACTGAAACAGGAACATCAAAAGCAGGCTCATTTCCCTTAAAAACCTTCACATTAGGAGTCAACTGCACCCCCAAAGAAGCCATTGGCGATACATAAATGATAGCATTCACATCGCTTAAAGACTCATCCATAACAGCCTTGTTAACATCCCACAAATCTATGTTAAGCCTATCCAGAGCATTACCTAGACAATGCCCACCATCTACATTTTGATTTGCATCAAAAACAACATTATCATTGGAAAATTAACCAGAAACAACAGTATTATTTCCCTTAGAGATTATTTATCTTCTTTCACTTTAAGGATCCGCGCATTAAGCCGAAAATCCACATAAGGATCGTTGGCTAGGAAATCAACTAGGATTGACCTTCTTTACCTTTTGTGGGCCATATGTTATGTATAACTAAAGCAACAACAATGCCCACGTTTTTAGACAGCCAGTTAGACTGAGTCTAGTCATTAAAAATTTAAGAGGCTTCACTTTAGATATTAAAATTATTTTGTGGCCAACATATAATGACGGAGCTTGTACGTAGTAAAGATTAATGGAGCTTTCACCACATCAGTGGACATTTTTTATTGCCCAGAGGCCAGACATCACTCTGGATTTGTATGGTTACAATATTGCACTTTCTACGGACTCTATTTTCTTCAATTTGGTGACTGGATGATAATACTAGTCCAACGAGGAGGTCTTCAGCCCCCTTGTGTCTGGTTTGAGCTTAAAAAGATCCCTGATTCTATGTTTAGTCCACCAGCCGTTTCGGTTCCAGTTTGGTCTTTTGTCTAATGGTTCCATGGCTTTTTGGGTTTTTGGGTTTTTGGGTTTGTGCTATGTAATTGCATTTGTTCTTCATAGCCCTTTTGGTCTTCATAGCCCTTTTGTGTAAAGGGATACATACATTTCTTTTTCTTTTTTTTTTTAGAACAACAAGCTACAGCTCTCCAGATTCCCAAATAATAAATAAAAATAACTACTGTCACCTTTGCCTTCTTCTGCAACTTGTCAGCAAAAGAGAGGTACTGCTTCAGGGTATACTCTTTAGCATTGCCCAAAGTCGCCAGCAGAGCCTTCAAAAAAACCAAAATGGTCATCTTTAACATGAACCCAAAAGGTATGCCCCAAATTCATTTCAAAACTCACCTCATCGGACATGAACGGAGCCAATTCTGGCATATAAGCAGCAAGAACTGCCGATGCAGTCGCCGGGCCTACCCCCTTCAGTATTGTCAGCTCGGACACCGCCTTGCTCAGATCAGGAAGAGACGCAAAAGCCCTTTTTGAAGCCGATTCCACTAGGGTTCCAGAGAGTGAAGAAACGAAATCCAACAGCCGAGGCCTGTGGAAGTAAAAAAAGCATAAACTTAGCATAAAGGCAATTAGCGTTGAGTGGTCTCGATAGGGTATACCTACCGCCATTTTCCTCGGGAAAGCTTCCATTGGAGCAGTCGACGGAGTTCTGGCTGGGTGATGAAGGCCTCGGGTTCTCGCTGCCGAATGAGGAAAGGGAGTTCCTTGCGGTAGAAGGCATCGAGGGAAATGAGGTCGGGTTTTTGGAGCGATACGAGGCTGGTCTCGTAGGTCGACAGCGCCGATTTCCACGAAGAGAGGTTGGTGCAGCTGAAATCCATGGCGGGATTGGAAATGGGACTTCGGGGCATAGAAAATGCAATTTAAATCTGCTCAATTGTTTTTTTTAGCCTCGTTGGCTGAAATCCACTAAATTCTAAAATTTTGGATGAGAGAGGTTTGATTTTAAGTGGCAGTTTCGTTTGCTCGAAAGGAATTTCGTTGAAGATGTTTAGAATTTATTTAGGTGAGTATAAAATAAATATAATTGATATTTTATTTTCATTTAAAATAAAATAAATATAATATAAAGTTTAAATAAGATGTTCAATAGCTGGTTATGGAGGTGGTGGCCGACGACAAGGCTGGAGAGGCCAGGGATGATGAATGACGATGATAGCTAGCCATAGGCGGTGGCGGATGGTAGATGGCAGCTACTAGTGGGGGTGGTCATAGGGCGACCGGTGGCGACAATAGTGACAACTAGCTAAGAATGGTGGTGCAAATGAGCGACAACAACTAATACCGGTGATAATAATGTTCTACGATGGGTGGCAGAAGTCAATAGTCGGTGGCAAAGTCCTGCACTAGTGGGGCAATGCGGAAGGTAACGATTGGGTCCAACGAGTGACGGTAATTGCGAAAAATTTGTGGTATATTTGAAAATCACCTAAATCTAAGAATTCCAAATACATCAAATTTACATCATATAGTGTATTATAAATACAGCATAAATTTATATTGCATTTATTTTACTTCTACCTAAAACCAATATTCTAAAACCCATGTATTTATTAAAACTATTGTTATTTTAATAGATCATTAAGTAATTATTTAAAGAACTTCATCTATAAAAATAAGTATTTAAAGAACTTCATCTATAAAAAATTTGATTATGAAATATAATTGAGATCGGTAGATGAATAATACATTGCTCATTTATAATTAAAAATTGGTTGTCATTGAAAATAAGCATCATTCAATATTTCATAACATGAAGAATAAGTTGTTTGTCATTATATATTTTATTTTAATAGTCATAAATAATAACATTTTTTTAACTATAAGAATAAAAAAGATTAAGAGTATTTTAAAATTAGCTAATTCATGCTCTTTTAGAAAAAATTCATTACTCTATCACATACTTGCTAGTATGCCAAAATAATAATTGTTTTATTCAACATAGTTTCAAGAGGCAAAATGATATCATTTCTAAATTATAATTATAGAAAAAAAATTTGATGCGACATGATAATCATGGACTCCCATGTGGAGGCTAACATGAATAGTTTATACATAACACGCATGATCTATCTTCTGTCACCAACCCACATACAAATATACAATATACATAATACATAATGATGTAAATCACGACAAGCAAAATAATATTTATTAGCACTCAATTCATGCCATGTATTTATTTTTTACTAAATATCCATTATCTGAATAAAAATACATAAAAATAGCTATTACATCACATGTAGATGAGTTGAAATAGTAATATTTGATACGTAACAAAAAATCGCCTTAATTGGGTAAGAATCTCGATGCAAATATGAATAAAAAACTTCCAAAATTAACTTTGGGATCATGCAAGCTCTAATTTTAGCAAGCTTTTATTCAAATGAAGAACGAACCCAACGACATTAAATTCGTTACAGTCCAAACCCAAGTGAGTCTAAATTAAAGGTCTAAAATCTATTTGAAAGTTTCAGAACATTAATTGGACTACCAAATGATATTCAAATATAACATGCTTATAACATAATCGAGTGGCTTAGTGAGACGAATCCAATGAGCCTAAGATCGCCAAATTCTGCACCGTTGAGACACTCAAATACTCAATAAACACTTTATGATCAAGAGAACCACTACGAGCCATTCGATTGAACAATCTCATCGTGCCTTTTATCTTCTCATTATTTGCAAACTATGTCATTCTCAAAACATTATAAATAAGCCAACCATTCTTTACATAAGGGGGTGAAAAAGAAGAGAAAAGAAGGGAAGGATTTAAGGGTTTTTTTTTTACTGACCACCACCAATGTTCTTCTTGACCGTCGCCGGAGTTCTTCCGACTGTCGCGTGAGTTCTTATCGACTACCACCAAAGTTGTTTCCAAATGTCGCTAGAGTTCTTCTCGATTGTCACAAGACTTCCACATGTTCATTGACCGACAACATATTTCTGCCCGACCACTATTACCCACACGAAGTTTAATCCATTTTATGGGCTTTTGTAATATGATCGTTCTCAAGTTTAAGGACGATTTTTGTAATCTGTTCAAATACTAATGCAATTATTTCAGTTTGGCGTGGCCCATGGTTTCTTTTCCCTTTTCAGGATTTTTCTTGTAAACATCATGGTATTTCTAATCTCTCTATTTGTGTGCAACGCTAAGATGAAAATCTTTCCTACTTTACCGCCGTCAATATAGTTGAATCTTGTGATCTTGATCTGATTCTTGAATAAGAAGATCAGGTGCACTTGCCACGTATGAGAGATTAGAACACAGAGAAAAAAAAAAGAGGATGAGAGAGAATGAATTTTATTATCCATAACAATAGGGTGCCAGACATGTGTACAACAATATATACTTAACTTTAAGATACAATCCAACTAATTAATATAAACTAATTAGTAATTATTAGTGTCTTCAGCTAATGTTTTATTATGCTCTAATAAATAGTCTAGCACGCAATAATATTGATACAATCAAATATTAGACTTTATTTGTGACTACTTTTTTATTGCTTTCTAAAGTATATTTTTAGTCGTTGTAGATCGCCAACCTCTCTAACTAGCATACGAGACAATTGAACTTTAAAGCACGGTAAAAAAAAAAAAAGAGCCTTGCTCAGTTGGCCCTCCTTCGCTGTGCTTACTTTCTCTTTTCTGAAGTCTACAACAAGTAGGAGACAAAAAATTTTTGTTCTTAAAAGTTATTTTTAAAACCAATAAGAAGTGTCTTAAGAAGTTTTATCTCAACAATAATTTGTTTAGATTATAACTAACTAGGCTATAAATCTCTAACAATATAATTATTTAATATTTAATCAGAGCAGAGTACTTGAACATTTTAATCTTATCATCTTCACTGCTTAAGCCTAATGATAGATGGCAGTTTAAATATCAATTTTGATATAACTATAATATCCAATCAAGTAATTGGATATAATTTGATAAGCTACATATATTATCCATAACGGACATTATCGTCCATTTTTAAAATAAATAAAAATAATTAATTAGTTCAAAATTATATTATACTCATCTTAAATGAAATTAAATTAGATATTTATAAATTTCCTGCTAATTAAATTTAAATCAGTATTCATTAATCAATATGTTTGTTGTTGAAGAAAAGTAGATAAGTATAACAATATCAAAATTACAAATATAATGGATAATATAAATATTAAAATAATTAAAATATATTTAATGTAAAATATTAAGATATTTCTAATAATTAGACAAAATTCTATCAATTTCGCGTCATCGTGTCCGTCACTTGTTTCTCACTTCTCGGTGGAGCACCAAATTTCTCCACCTCCTTAATTCTTATCCACCTATCTCGAAATAAAATTTAATAATTTTCTACATTAATCAAATAAAGGAAACAACTTTGCGACTACGCCCGCCGACTATTCTCATTCCCCGCGCCTAATCCACCATAAAACCCCGTTTCCATACCCGTTCCGCACCAATGGATTTGCTGAAGAAGAAAAGGAGCGATTTTGACCAAGAAGAGGAGGTCGTCGCCGGCGACATCTCCGTCCTCGGTGAAGATGTCCTCCATGAGATTCTTCTACGCCTCCCACCTTCTTCTCTTCTCAGCTCCATGTCCGTATGCAAGTCCTGGCTGCGCGTGCACTCTTCGCCTCTCTTCCACCGTCATTACAGATCTCGCCGCGCTTCTTCCTTATTCGGTTTCTTCGTCAACTTCCCATGCGAAAACCCCTTCTTTCTCCCCGCTTCGTCCTCCTCCACCGCTCTATCCGAGCTTGGCTCCGTCCAGATCCTCGACTCCCGCGCCGGATGGCTTCTCCTTCGCGATCTCGTCACTTCCTCCCTCCGCCTCTTTCACCCCTTCTTCAACAAAACCCTAGCCGTAGTTCAACCCTCGCTTGAAAACCCTACCACCGTTTACAACGCCCTTCTTCCCGATCCATACTCATTCAATCCTGTTCGCCGATTTCGAATCCTCCGTGTTTTGACGAAACCCTCGTCCCGTCCCATGATTGAGATTTTCTCGTCGGAATCCCCCGGTGAATGGAAAAAGATCCAATCTTTATGCAATATTCGTATTCGGCGCTGCTGCTTGGAGGTACATCCCGTTTTGGTGAACGGATATGTTCATTGGCTGAAAGGCGATTGTCAAATTCTTGCTTTGGATGAAGTAAACTACGAATTTTCGATTCTAGGGCTTCCGAGGGAGCTTCCTCTTTATATTATTAATCGTTGGTTGGGCAAATTCAATGATCGGCTCTGCTACTCTTACTTGGAGGAATCTGTATTGTATGTGTGGGTTCTTGTTGATCGATTTCACTGTGAATGGCATTTGGAATGTCAAATTAAGATGGGGAGATTTCAAGAGTTAGGTCAGCCCAACCAGGCCAAGCTTCTTGCTTTTGGTGTTGGAGGGAGTTCAAATGTTGCATTTCTTGGTTTGATGGGGAAGATCTTCTCGCTTGATTTGGGGAGTGGAGAATTGAGAGAGGTTGGTAATGCTGGTTTTGAGGTCGATCATGTCTTCCCTTACAATTTTGTGGAAGCTGATTGGTCCGTTTCTTCCATTATTGACTGTGAGGCACTGCTGTGAGTTTTCTGCAGTGCAAATCTTTACTCTTTTCTTTTTACATCTTAGTTATAGTGTCATTGTATTGTTCTTTTGTTATTTCCAATATGCTGAAAGAGGGAAACTTGTATTTATGTGTAGCATATTGTAGCATAAACTTGCTTTATATTAAACAAAGCAGGGATATTCTTTTTTTGTCGGATGAAATTTCTGACTGGCAATTTTTTCCTCAAGTTTTTGTTATATTTTACCTTTGCTTAATTCAGATGTTGTTGCAACAGTTTGTTAAAGCGAGTTTTTCATTTCCATATATAAGAGGAATGAAATCTATGATGACAAGACATTTCTAGTTTGTAATACATAACATTATTTGTGAGATGCAGTAATTGGGGATCATATGAGACATTTATAGTTTTCACCATGGTTTTTCTTTGGTTTAAAAGATCTATGAAATTTTAGAACAATATAATATTTGAAAAATATGCGAAAGAGAAGTTTTAGGGGCTGTTTGGTGTGCTATCCTTGGAAAAATTTAAGCAAGATTTAGCTTAAATCCTAACAAGTCTGATATTTAAGGATTTAAATTATACTATTTTGATAAATCACATTTATGACCCAATATTAGGCAAATATAGGAATTTTTAAATTCCACAATTCATAGGATTTAAGAAATTTTCATTCTCACGTATCTTAAATTCTAAAATAAATGACCAAACAATTTATTAGTATTTATTAAGATTTAATATGTGGGTCTTCGACAGGATTCTGCTTAGTGGGGAACACAATGCAAATGTTAACGATTGTGTTATCCCGTAGGACAAAACGATCGTAGGCCTTTACACTCTACGCAAGCAGGCCAATGGAAGAGCAGATGATATCATATATACGATTAGTCATGGAGGATAGCAGCTTTCACCTACACACCTCGATGAAAAATAATATATATAACCTAATCAAAGTCACGAGATTTACCCCATTCGATAGTTGTCATTTCAAACAAATTTTTCATGTGTTAATTCTCTCAAAATTTACTAAATCTGGGTTCATAAGATTTACGAAATCTTGCATGAGTTAAATCCTACTTGTAGCCAACCCCTTAGATTTTACATCATTTTCAACTTAGAATTGCATGAATTTTATAGGGTGAACTAATAAACTGATTGGATGCAAGAAAAAAAAATCTGGGAAGCTTGCTCCAATAACAATGTTAAAAACAAATATTTGCTCTTAATGATTTATGTTGGTTTTATCATTGAATTATTTAATGAAGGGATTGAAAAAAGGGAAAGTTATTAAGTTGGATGGATCAAAGCCAACATAAAACTCTAATCTTTCCATCTTTTGTGGAGCTAGGCGAATATTTTATTTCATAAATATTTTTCTTTTATATTTTAAATAGCAGCATGTAGAAAAGTGAATTTTTTCTTTCTTGTTTGTTGTATTCATAGCTTACCTATTTCACGCACATAGCCTACTTGGGCATAAATTTACTTTTTTTTTACCACCCTAACTTTTCCCTTTTCCATGTTTTCTCAATGAAGTATGTGTTTGCAAAAATTTACCCCTAACCTGCTACTTTGGAAGTGATTAATGAGCCTTGAAGCGAGCTTAAGGATGACAATAACCATGAAACTTGTATGTTCTAAGGAAGGACGTTTAATTTCAACCCTTCAAGCATACATTTTTAATCATATCTAATTTTGCTTCAAAGAAAATTGTTTGTTACACAAATATTTTATCTTTATAATGCAAGTTTTCTTAATGGCAAATACTATTTAAATTCTATAATTTTATTGTCAAAATTTTCAATAAATCAATTTATTCTTGTACCACTTTATTTGTTACGAACATGCACTAAGATCAATTACTTAGTGTTTAAGAATACATGCTAGACAAATTACTTGGAGGATTTGTGGGCTCTAAAAGATGCTCATGAGCTCGCGAGGTGATCTTTCTCTTTGAACTTTTTTAAAGTTTAGGGATTAGATGCCAATTAACATGGAGTTTTTAAAGGCATTCTATTTGATTTTCCCATATGTTGTTGAGATAGAATTTTGAGTTATCTAAGGTTTATATCAGATCTAAGGGATCAAGGCTACTTATGTCATAAATTCTTATGGTTAATTACATCTTAAGCACACTACTCTAGGTTAAGGTCATTTCACACTTTGAATTAGTAGTTAAATTTGTTTTTGTATTTGGGGATGGATGGTCAAAATATGCTATAATTCCTTTATCTTGGGTTAATTTAGTGGTCCTCGTCTACCAAAGATGGAGGGATTGAAAATCTTATCATTAAGAGACTATGATTAGCATTCTTTTCAGATCGTTAGTGGATCGGGGAGGCAAGCATGCTTAATAATACTCTTTGTTGGTGTGTTCCAATGGTTTGAACTTAAATAAATCATTTCAAGAAGATTTGTATGATTGTCAACCATGTAGATGTATGTTTAGGTGACCAAAGGATTGCATGGGTCTTGTTACTATAGCCGACATCAAGTCACCCACTATATTAAAAAAAAAAGACTCCTATGGGTGGTCCGTGAGAAACCTTTATGATTAGCCATTGGGTGCATCACGCTAAAATACGTGTATGACATTTTTATAGTTTCCTCTATATATGTAGTGATATGAGGCGTCGTAGTTTGAGATGAAAAAAGAGATAAATAAATTGATAGATAAAAATAGAGAGAGAGAGAGAGAGAGAGAGAGAGAGAGAGAGAGAGAGAGAGGTGGTTTGCGAGGGAGCTTGAGAGAGTGAGGGAGTTAGGCACGCGACGGGGGAGAGGAGAGAGTTGTGAGTGGGCAAGTGGTATATATATATGTATGGGGGGGGGCGCAAAAAAAGGCCATTAAGGCCATTTTACTATGCTTATTATCTTCCTAGGTGTGCATGTGAAGGTGAGGCGTGGGTTAGGGGCTTCATTTCCTTTGTTTTTCCATTTTAGGGGGCATTATGATTTATGGTAGGGAGAGAGTAGCATTGTGAATGAGTTTGGAGGGGATTAGAAATTGTATAAGAGTTGGAATCCAAAATCTTTAGCTTAAGGTTTGGATTTTTTAATGTGACCATGTGGGAGAGTAGTTAGTTATGTAGTTGAAGCAATAATTCATGTTATAAAATAAAAATAAAGTAACATAATTCTTACCAAAAACTATTGTGGGTTTTGACTAATGTCAAGATATTATGTGAAGAAGTTCTTCAATTCAAATGCATTTAAAAAGTTATCTTTTACATTAATAGATATTCCTTCTATATCACATAGAGTTCAAAACTAAGTTAATAAAAATTTAAAATTCAAATGGTGAGGGGAGTGGGGAGAGGGGAAGGTGGACGTGGATAGCTTGCATTGTGGGTAAGTTGTTGTAGAGCCTTGATTCTTGCATTGAAATCTTTATTGTATTTGAACTTTTCTTAGATAACCACTCCATTCTTGAGTCAATATGGATTTATAGACTAATTTTCAACCTAATCACAACAGACTTTTAAATCACTCACAAGTAACTTTTAAAAATCAAGATTATAAGGATGGTTGAAACATCTCATGCAAAATATTGCGAAAAACTGTTGGGTTTGGCTGGAAATGAACTTGGACTGCTGCATCAATTCTACCGCATCTTTTGGAACTCTGCTCTACACAGTTAAAATAGATCTAGTCCTATAATGGTCAGTAGAAATTTGCTCCAATCATCCATGTTGCTGTTAGGGTGATGGAGTGTTTGTATTTGTAGCAACATCAACTGGCGCAATGACTATAGATGCTAAAAAACTTGCATGTGAAAGCATCTTTGAAAATGGGTTTATGTTTTCTGTTAAGCGGGTTAATGTGTAAAATCTAATGCTTTAAAATCCTTCTAATGCTCTTATACAAAAAGAGAAGTGGTTAGAAAGCTTGATTCATGTTTTCACCCTATGGGTATTTATATACAAATCATGTTTATAACAATATAGGAAACTATGCAATTCACAAGAAGAGAAATAGGTATAGTTTATTTGAAATGTTACAATGTTCTTAGATGGCTTGGCCATTGGCCCCAAGTCAACAATCCATATTAGGAAACCTTCCAAACTAAGCCTACCATCATACCTCCCTCGTAATTCCTTTTCAAGTCACCAATACGTGTGAGTAAACCGTCCATATTGGTTTTTGTCATGTGCAGAAATTGTATGCTATGGGCTTTGGGTTTATTCCTTACCAAAAAAGTTGATTGAAGCATTTATTTGTAATCTCAGCACTCCCTCTCAAGCTAAATGATAGAGATCTACCATTCCAATTTTGCATAGAATACTTTTAAATGCAGGATTGCAAAGAATTTTGTTGAATATATCGATGAGTTGAGTACATGTAGAAACATACAACAAAATATAAATTAACATACACTCTAGTTTTTCTTTTATGAAATGCCCATCCAAGCCACATATATGGTTCATGTATTGGACTGTGGATAATGTTGATTATCACAATATATTCTCATAGTGACTTTCAATTTGAATTTTTAAACATTTTAATGTAACTTTAATCCATAGAAGTCACATGTACTTTGAATGATTGCTCTAAATTCAAGTTCATCTCTTGAATTTGAAACAACATGTTATTTATTGCTTCACCATGTTATAAGATTTCCTCCTAATAGTTTGCAATATCTTGTAGTGGGTCTCATATCCATTGGTGATTCCACATTATTAAAATCAATATAAACTTCGATTTGTAGCATATTTTTTTGTAGAGGATCCCTTTTACAAGCTTTGATCTTGAAGGTTTGAGAACTCTATAAGTGGGTTGAATGTGAGATTTTTATTTTATTTGTGCATAAATTGATTTATGATAATCGTTGCAAAAGTCAATTATTATGTTCATTTTAACAACATGGGCAAATGTTTCTCGATAATTTATCCCATACAGTTAAGTGTATACTTTTACTATTGTTGACCTCACTTTCTTTGGATCCATCGTAGTGGTTAGGGATTCCTGATTTTTCAAATCTGGTTTAAATTGAATCAACAAACAAAACTAAATGGAGTCCTATCAATAAAATAAAATATCTTTTTTGCAATAAAAATTCAATTAAATCTGAACACAACCAACCAACTCGCTTGAAGTAGGATTAAACTGACCCATGTTAAATTAATTTAGTCACCAGTGTTCCGCATTAAACCTACTTGGTTGGGGTAATTTGACTTTGATCAAATAAAGCTAACCATAATTTACTCCGATCCATTTAGGTTTCGTTTGAGATAGCTT